GAAGCTGAGCCTCGGAAAGGGGGGAGGAAATTTTTTGGTTTAATATTTTGTCTTATTGATTCCCTCCACCCAAATCAAGAAGTATTTATTTCAATTGACAATCAATTAAGTTATCTTTGTCAAGTAAGGCTATTTTGCCCACAGTAGTAACCGGTAAGCAATCTCCCTGTCTTTATCTCTACCCATGAGCTTTTTTGTTCCCATTATTCCTATTTTCTACCCCCCACCCTGCTGAGAACAGAGAGTGAGCAAGAGCCTGGGTGGGAGTTTAGCAGCTAGCCCAGGCTAATCCACAAGACTAAACCCAATGTATTTCTAGAGTAAAACAGTTGGTGGTAAGGTCTCAGTGTCTGCCTTATACTTGTTTCAGTGGGTTACTTTGAACTAGGACTAGTCTGGCCTTGTGGCATGTTCAGGACTGGAGTGCGTCAGGCACATTTCCAACGCACATCATTCGGTTTAGCTGTAGCTGGAAGAATTCCAGTTGGAGTGGTCAGCAGCTTCTCCATGACTTGCATCAAAGGACGGTAGGTGAGAATGACACAACCAAATGAAAAAAGCATATTGATTTCCTTTTAAAACTTAGTACTACCACATCGATTTAAATTATCTATAATCATATTTTCACTGTACAAAATATATAGAAGCATTTTAAGCAAGAAGCTTACTACTGATGTAGATACTTCCTTTCAAAATACTGTCATACCCAAGCTGTGACTGGAGAACTAACCATAGAATCATAGATTCTAGAACTAATCCTTTAAAAGACTGAACCTGGAAAATCAGAATGCTGTATGTTTTAAAATGACGTATGTCTTCCATCTTGCTAAGAAACTTGATGCTGTCCTTCCCCAAAAAAAGATGTGGCTGCTACAGTCTGTGCATGTCAGTTTTACAATGTTAAAATGGTGCTATAATCCAGGCTGCCAGAGACCATCTAATTCTTCCATGCTGTAGAATACCATGACCACAATTTCAAAATATGTTCAGTATGTTTGAAATGTTTTAAAACCTTAGGTATCAGATTTTGAAAGGAAATTAGGCGTTTGCCAGAATTGTCAGAGATACATAGGATATTAGGTAGTTAACTCCCATGGAAATTTTAAGTGATGTTCGTGTTTTATATTTTCTATCAAAGATTGACATGTCTTTCTTTACAATTATTTAGAGCAGTTATCTTTTTAGTGCTTCCAGCAACTGATTTTCAGTGTCACTATCCAAGCACAAGGCTGTGTTTTCTCTGCGTGGTGATTACCACTGGGAATTCCCTTTTCCATGTTAGAACTTTTCTATTTGTTACAGAAGTCTGAACTTTTATGCCATTTTAAAATGGCACTTCAGTGACTCTCCCTAAATAGCCAGCCATGTATAAAATGGAAACTTGAACAGGTCTCCAGCTACTAAAAAAACCCTTAAAGTTTTGTAAACAGACTGAAATTCTGGAACGTTTGTTGGTAATGGTAGCATAAAATCACAGCTTCTAAATGCTTTTCAAATTATGGTGTGAAGTATCAGATGTGTGCTAAGCAAGTTAAATGACACAACAAATTTTTCTCTCTATTTCTGGTTGTGTAACAATACCTTTCATGCAGTTGGCAGAGAAACTTTTAAAGCTTGTGCTTTTCAAACTTGCTATTCTATATATTATCACTGTTGTCATTAATGTTTAATTATGAAAGAAGTGCTGACAAAGAAGGCTTAAAGAATGGACAGGAAAGTAATTTCTTTAGCCATATCAAGAAAAATGAATAGATGAAGTGTTCAAAAAGGATTCAGATATAAAGTAAAATAGTCCGGCAATTAGATGAGGGCAGTTTGGTTTAGATTCTAACAGCTTGTCTTGCCTTAGACTATGTTCTTTTAGCTAAATTTTGTTTGCTAGTGAAGGAGACTTTTCTAAATATGAGATACATCTCCATCAGTAAATAATACATGTCACCTCTTGCTGCTTAAATGCGACTTACTCCATTGGCAGATTCTACAGTTGTCCTGAAGCTCTTTTACGTTTTTGGAATTGAAAGGCTTGTTTTGATATGGAATGTGCGGGACCTTTATTTCTACATGGCATAGCTAAAATACTCAGCAGATGTTTAGAAAAATTAACAGGAGGTAACAAATGGTTCATATGATGATATATTCAGAATGATAAGTTACAGATAATACAGTGGCTCACAAGATAATGGATTTTTTCTTAGGATATCTTCAGTCACCTGCTTGCACCTAAAGGTCTGCTTGGTTTTATGTAGTGTTCAGAACGAGGACAGTATCTGTAGGCACAGTCCGGTAAAAGCATTTGATAAAGGATTGCATAGAAGATGATGTCATTTTTTAAAGTGAAAACAATGAAATATGTGTGCCATCTCTGCCTTTTCTCCTCCTTCTCCTTTCCTTTTTACTGGTCTGAAACATGACATATTTTGACATTTGGGTCACAGTCCAAATGAACTTCAAAATCCGTCATCTCTTTTCTGCCCTGTGGCTTTGTTGAATCAATGTGGTATGTACTTGTCTGTCTCTTTCTACCTAGTTTTCTTCCTGCTTCGTAGGTCCACTGTTTAACAAGTCCCTCCTGTTTTTAAAATAGTACTTTGTTCTGCACTTAGCCCCAAAGCCCCTTAGTCATACAAAACCTTGTTCTGTGACTTTGTTCATTTGTTTTCCTGTTTGGAGATTTTGTTTTCCACTTTCTGTTTCTCCTCCCTCTGCTGCTGATGCTCAGTCTATGAGCAATTGTTTTGCTCATGCAATGTTATACAAAGGAATGAGGTAAATAATAGCATATATTTTCTTCCTCACAGTTCTACTTCTTTTCAAAATATAAATAAAGCCCACAATAAATTAATAAATTGAGTGGCCAAAATAAACTATTTTGAACACAATTTTTACCCATAAAGCAGAACTTTTCCATAGTTTCCTGTTGGATTTTCACTTCACTTTCCATCTGAAATAGGTATCAGATACCATGGTGAAGTGTGATAGTGTTAAAGTTGTTATACAGTAAGAGGCAAAACAAAGCACCATATTTTCTGGAGATCATAGTCATTCACAGAATCACATAGTTTTCTGTTCTCTTATGCTATCTATTGGTATGCTTACCTGTGATCCTATTTAGGAAAGACTAGATGTGTACTTCAGTGAAAGACATGGATAACCTCACTGCCTAGAAAAGAGGTGGTAATCATTTATTGTCTAATCAACGCCTAAGCATGATGAAAGGGAGTGTTACAACATGGTTTTAGTAGTTCCTCTGCATGGGGGTGTTGTAAAAATTGATATGTGAGTATTTTCAATAGTGAAAGACATGGTGCTGTTTTCTTACTTGGTAGAATTTCATGTCTGTATAAAGGACAATTTTACATGAGTTTCTTTATCTAAATTTCTTCTGCCTTAGTCAGAGTTACTTGCTTCTTTTTGCTGTTCTGCACTCCCTAAGATGACATTGCATAATGGTTTCTGGGGGGTTGCTGTTGTGCTCATTTTGCTTTTAGATTACATTTGAAAGCATGTGAGAGAGGAAGCACATAATGCAAGTGTAATATGAAAGTTCTAGTAAGAAAATTTGCACTTCGTGAATCTGAAAATTTTTCTTGGATTAAAATTCAGTCATTTCCAAATTGTGAGCATTTCTTCTGAATTTATAGATGACTGAAAGATTGCAAGTCTAGCATAAATCTGAGTAACCTGTTCAGTGCATTACATGAAAGAATGTTCATCTCATGCTGGTATTTTTGAATGCTATTGATTCATGTTAGAAATGTAATAGGGCACATATGAAAATGGTACATTTTAAACTGGAGTGTGGCACAGCAATAAATTAAGCATTCTCAAACCAAGAAACCATATTTATAGTTTCCCATAAATACATATGTAAGTCATTCTTGAACATTTAACAATTCTATGGAAAGAGAACAGAAAAGTAAAATGTCTACTTCAGGATACCAACTGATATTTTCTCTCTTCTCAAATTATCATCGAGGCTATTCATTCAGGATTATGCTGTTTTTCTAGAATACTAGTGGTAAGTTAAAAAGGGAAAGAAAAAAGTTTAAGGATGATTAAATAACAAAAATACCAAATAGTTTCAACAAAGAAGAAAGAAAAGTCATTCAGTGCAGTTTGTTTTTTTGCGTTTTTATACTAGCAGAAGGATTGATTTGTGGTCAAATAAACCAAGAGTGTTGTTTGGTTAACAGCAAAATCTCTCAAGGTTTGAGAGATGTCAGAGTAGTTTCTGCTCTTTCTTTGTGTACAACTGTTTCTGCTTTTCTCCGTCTTCTCTAGAACAGAGATGAAGCTAATATGCTGGTTAAAATTTATGCCCGTGTCGTTTCATATATTGTGGGTTTTTTTTTTTTAATCAGTATGAAGGAAGTAAATGCAATAAATTTAAACATAAGGAAAAAACTTATTTACTTATGAGGGTGACCAGATACTGGCATAGGTTTCCTAGACAGGATGTACAGTCTCCGTTCTTGGAGATGTTCAAAACCCAACCGGATGTGATCCTGGGCAATTTGCTCTAGTTGACCTTCCTTTGAGCAGAGGGATTGGACTAGAGACCTCCAGGTTTTAGTAGTGATGTAGTGTGGTGAAAGAGCTTGTCTTCTGTATTTGGAGATAATTTTGCAGTGATGTTGGATATTTAGGATTAAACTCTTGGTGTAGTCTGCATATGTGCATTAAAGCAATTTACTACCATATAGTCCCCAGATTATGACCAAGGACATCTTTTATTAATAGGTCAAATCAAGAAAGCCTATGAAGTTTTGTGTGTTTGTATTTTGAGATCTATGTGAGTTCTTTAACGTAATTTCACACTTAAGTTCTGAAGGAGAATAATTAAATATAATCTCGTCAGTGTTCTTTATAAAAATTAAAGAATTTATCAGAAATTTCAGATGTGTACATCTTTCCAAACATTGTGTTCTAATTGTTTTCAATTTTTTTTAATTCAGCAGCTTGACTATATAGCTAATATACCACCTTATTACCTTCCACAGATCTGAAGAGAGAAGCCAGTATCTGTCACATGCTGAAGCATCCTCATATTGTTGAACTATTGGAGACCTACAGCTCAGATGGAATGCTTTATATGGTCTTTGAGTTGTAAGTTTCTCTCTTTGATTTTACCTTCCTTTGTTGTCATTTGCTAAATAAATTCCTTCAAGTAAGTCTGCTTTCACCTGCTTGTTTTGTAGCTCAGAAGTCTGGAGTGTTATGAAAATATTTATTTCTGGAAAGTACAGATTGTCCCAGATAAAAAAATTGTTACACTGGCTAAGTGGCTAACATCAGGCTGATTCTTTATAGCATTCTTTGTAAGGACAGACATGCTGTTCATTGATGGCTGCTATGTCCCTAATACAGTACAAGAGAACTAGTTAAAATCAGCTGATAGTCACCATCTTTGGGTAACTGATGGTATTCTATTCCAGTTGTGAAGTTTTGTTTGGTTTTTTTCCAGTTGTTTCTTTAGCACTGCTTTTCCTTTTCTAGATAAGAAAGTAAATATTATTGGAGTATTTTTCTTGTAAATTGATATACCTGTTTACATCATATGAAAAAAGGCATTTCTCTGAAAATTATGTTTTGGAAGCTTGAATGTAAGAGTTTAGTTACTGTTGGCATATGGAAAGGTGAACAAAACATGGCTTTTCAGCAGTGTACAGGTGTTTTCAATCAATAACAAGAAACAAAAGGCCTCAAATCGCCACATTCCTTCTTTGAGGGAAGAGTATTAGTCCTTCTTGAGTTAGCTTTTAGCTAGCTGGGAAGGACAAAAACAGACATGCAGAACGCTAGTTTATGCATCTTCCACATTGAATCTTCCTTCTCTTCCTGTACCTACCAGCTCTTCTTTTTATGTTCCCCATCTATGCATTCCTACTGTGTCTGGGCATATCTGTTTATACCTCCTTAATTTCACTGGTCTTCCTGCATTGTTTTCTGATGCATTTGTCCTCCTTGTGTTGGAGAAAGCCACATCATGTCAGTGTGTTAGGTCGAACTGGCATGTCCACTAGAGCCAAGAATTTGACTTGAGATATGCATTTAAAAAAGAATTCTCACATGTTAATTCTACCATTGAGGTAGAGAAAAAGTTAGGTGGTAAGAGCAAAAAAAAAAATGCTGTAAAGCTGAAAATTGTTGCTTGGAAGCTTCTACTTTTTTTTTTTTTTTTAGATGAGTTTATAAACTTCTGATTGTGTGAAATAATTGTTTTATGCTTTCCTTTCTGTAAGTTTTGATTCAGTACTGACTTTGTTTTTTATTTTGTAAATCCAAAAGCATGGACCAAGGGACTTTAATTATCTTATTATGAAATAATTATGTACACCTTGGGGAGACATACTGTGATAATTAACAAGATTTTGAAATGGAAAAAAGGTTTTGTTTCTATTTTTACCACACTGGTAGCTCAGAAATATGAGACAAAAGCAGTAATTACTTTTTAATGACAAGCCTATTACCATTTACATTTGTATACACAAAAAGTTGTCTGAACAATTAGGATTACTACACAAATACCGTACCTGACTTCAGGCCACATGAAAGAAGGAATTGTGTGGCTAAATTATTTGAAGGATAATAATTCTTTACCATCTCATATGTCTTTGTCTCCCTTGTACACTATAAGACATCACTGTTTTGTAATGAATGGTTATAGAAAATGAGACAGTAGGAACACCTGTGCTCAAAATGTAGCAAGGAATGGAAGAGTTGTGGGCACAATGTGTTGTTATGCTGGAGGGGATGCTTTGGTAAAATGATTCAACATAAGGCTGATGTTTGTTGTGGAGTAAGGCTGCATTGTCCACGTTTGATTGGGTTAGTGGCATAGTATATAATTGTGACCTCAATAAGAAACTTGTAGTTAGTAGAAAAGCATCTATGTATTTTTAGGTAATTTATTTTCCCTCATACTGCTTTCTGTTCATTATGCTATTATTATAACAAACTGAACTACTTTGCAACAAAGTTCTGTCTACAGTAATAAAGTGTATTTTATTAGGGTCTAGTTATTCTGAAGTCACAGAAAGGGAGAAGACACCACAGATCTGCAGAGAAGATATAAACCCAGCTGGTGACGGGCTATTTGTGGACTGGCAGATGCTTGACATGAAAATTAATTCAGGTCCAGCACATGAAATGCACAGAATAACGAAACCTAAAACTTTGTGCCGTTAGTTGCAGGTAAATGATACATAGGTCCACTACTGTTAAATAAACTGTGAGCTACATGGAGCAACTGCTAAAATGACCCTGAATGTCTTGCCAGAACTATTGTTATGAAAAAATACAAGTTAAATAAGCAAATGCAGCATATATCTGATAACAAGGGATTGTACCACTCCAGAAAAAATATAATCTGTGCCCAATTTTGAAAAAAATTCTTAAAATAAACATTAAAAAGATCAAGTCACAGTTCACAGAAGCACTGATGAACATGAACAGTAGCAATGAAGTTTAACACCAAAAAATTAGCTATTTTTAACCACTATTTATATACAAATTCAAGCACTCTTTAGAATGGAGCCATCATGTCATGTTACCAGTAGGTTGCCATTAGCCGTTAGGTACTGCTGTAATAAACTGCATAGAAGCAGTTGGTCATAATAGTTTAAGTGTACATGTAGCGTAAGAAGCAGACCTTGTCCCAGAAAGTCTTATTCTTAAAGAAAAATTGTTGTTTTAAAAGTATTTGGATGTTATTACATCACAAATGAGAGAGTATGTGCCTGTGCCAAGTGATTTCCCACACACACCGCCCAACTGTTCTCCAAAAGGGTAATGGACTCTTTCCAGTGATGGAAGAGATCTTTTGGAGGCCCTAGAGAGACCTTTCATCTGAGACAGGGCCAGCTCTAGTCGTTATCATGCAGTCACCATTTTATTTCCCAGACTGTGATGTTACTTGTTGACAGCTGTATATCAAGTGCTCCACCATTAGTCTTGAGTTAACTATGACCTTTTACCTGATACAAGCATGTAGTCAACAGGAGTACATCAAGCAGGTACATTTTACAGTGTCTGAACAGATGAAAGTCGTCTTTTTTTAAGACTGTTCTTTGCAAGGTACAAAATAATATGCAAAACTCTCCTGGTATTTAAAAATCCTATTTATGAAATGAGGTGCAATCTGGTTTCTTTCATCTTTGTTCAGTAATGTGCTATTCTAGACAGTGCTGTCCCTTTCACATGATGTTTGCTTGGTAGTTTATGTACAAGGTGGGGAGGAACACTGGTTTTACATACAATGCTGGTTTGTGTTTGGTATATATCACTTTTTTTTCTTGTATTCTATTCCTTATTATATTTTTTTTCTAATAACCATTGGTCTTATCAATGAGAATACTTTGAGAAGGGTCAGGTACTTGCAATATTTCTAAAACAATGCAAAAATTCCATTTAAAGTGTCTGAAAACCACGTTTTAGTCTTTGAGTACATTATATGCTGTTTATCCTCAGTGTAATCAGAGTATGTGGACAGAGAGTACTTGCCTTTGGTGCTGAAGAGCTCAGATACAGAAGTAGCGAGTGAATTACAGATACCTTAATATTTGGTCATTTGCAGAATACTGTCTCACCACCAACACGTAGGTGGTTTTGCTTTTCTTAGTACATTCAAAGATAGATTTATCTCTTGAGACATTAGAAGAACTGACCTTACTTAGATTTACCCGTTAGGCTGTATATATATATATATATATATAGTGACATGCATGTTGATTTGCCATTTAACCTAGTTAAAATGTAAAAATGTTTTCATATTAAAATCTCAAATTCCTAAAAGCAGTACTTTAGGATGGTTGCAGTTACTTAGGTTTATATTAAAAATAAGCTGATAAGCATTTAAATGATGGTTGGTACATTCAATCGTGCAGCTGAAAGGGGAGAAACGAATGCTATCTATTTATTCTGCTTTGTTACAATACTGTGAAACAGCACAGATTCTTAGTTTATGGAGTGAAAACTTTCTTTCATTATTTTACTTAATCATGTTAGGATTCCAGTCATGGTTTTATTTTTAAATGCAGTCTCACCTGTAGTCCATCAAGTTTTAAGTGGCTTTACTGTACTTCTGGTCTCTCATACTTGCATAATGCATCATCTAGGATAAAAATAAGTCTTAAATGTTAACTTTAAAAAGTAAAAGCAAAAGAAATTAAAATCTGTGTTTTTCACACCGAAACAGTTTGTTGTGATGACTGAAAGAAAATAGTTTCAGATGCTTCTAGGTTTAAAGTTTGGGCCAGACTTTCAAAATATCCAGCGAAAGGAAAAACTTTCAAATTCATTTTGAAAAGCTTACAGTACACTCAGAGAAGTCATTAAATTAGAGATTCTGTCTATCCTGACTTTAGATGTTTAAAAATTACATTCTAAATCTACTCTCAGTTTAAACCATTGCCCTTTCTCTTGTCACTACAGGCCTTGGTAAAAAGTCTCTCTCCATCTTTCTTATAAGACTCATTTATGTATTGACAGACTGCAGTAAAGTCTCGCTGGAGTCCTCTCTTCTCCAGACTGAACAGCCCCAACTCTCTCAGCCTGTCCTCATAGGAGAGGTGTTCCAGTCCTCTGACCATTTTTGTGGCCTTCCTCTGGACCCGCTCCAACAGTTCCATGTCCTTCTTGTGCTGAGGGCTCCAGAGCTGGACGCAGGACTCCAGGTGGGGTCTCACCAGAGTGGAGCAGAGGGGCAGAATCACCTCCCTCACCCTGCTGGCCACGCTGCTTTTGATGCAGCCCAGGATATGGCTGGCCTCCTGGGCTCTCCTGCTGGCTCATGTCCACCTTTTCATCCACCAGTACCCCCAAGTCCTTCTCGGCAGGGCTGCTCTCAATCCCTTCAGCTCCCAGTCTGTATTGATGCTGAGGATTACCCTGATCTGGGTTCAGGATCTTACACTTGGCAAATTGCACTTGTTGAACCTCATGAGGTTCACACAGGCCCACCTCTCCAGCTTGCCCACGTCCCTCTGGATGGCATCACGTCCCTCCAGCATGTTGACTGCACCACTGAGCTTGGTGTCATCTGCAAACTTGCTGAGGGTGCACTCAATCATGCTGTCTATGTAATTGAGGAAAATATTAAACAGCAT